TATTATCAAGTGCAATTACGATACCAAACACTACGTATTAAAATATCAGGAAGTAAACGTTACTTCAAGCGTTAAAGTTTACAGTTTTGCTACTGTTGAGTCGATCGTCGGGACTATCCATATATATCGTAAATCGGAAAGCGTTATAAACATATCAAAAACAAAAAATTAAAAATACAATTTAAATGAAAAATTATGTCTTAAATATAATTCACAATTAAAACAACAATACAAATTTAAAATACACAAACGATATGTTAAACATTGCACATAAATAAAGTTACATTACTTGCTCGACATCACACACAACCTCGTTTTCCCTTTTACACAACGATCAGTATTCGCTCAAAAAACATTAAAGAATTCCACAAACTCGGTGTCCATGTGCTCATTATCTATTTTCACTTAAAGAAAAATCAGAAACAATTGCTCCACAACTCGGCATTGCGCACCACATTGGCTTTGCCCATGTGCACATCGATCTATTTTCACTTTAAAAAAACATTCCAGAGTTGCACAAACTCGGCATTGCGCACCACATTGGATTTGCCCATGTGCACATCGACCTATTTTCACTTAAAAAAACATCCCAGAATTGCACAAACTCGGCATCGCGCACAAACTCTGCATTGCGCACCACATTGGCTTTTCCCATGTGCACATCGATCTATTTTCACTTAAAAAAACATCCCAGAGTTGCACAAACTCGGCATTGCGCACCACATTGGAATTGCCCATGTGCACATCGACCTATTTTCACTTAAAAAAACATCCCAGAATTGCACAAACTCGGCATCGCGCACCACATTGGCTTTGCCCATGTGCACATCCATCTATTTTCACTTAAAAAAACATCCCAGAGTTGCACAAACTCGGCATTGCGCACCACATTGGAATTTGCCCATGTGCACATCGACCTATTTTCACTTAAAAAAACATCCCAGAATTGCACAAACTCGGCATTGCGCACCACATTGGCTTTTCCCATGTGCACATCGATCTATTTTAACTTAAAAAAACATCCCAGAGTTGCACAAACTCGGCATTGCGCACCACGTTGGATTTGCCCATGTGCACATCGACCTATTTTCACTTAAAAAAAATCCCAGAATTGCACAAACTCGGCATCGCGCACCACATTGGCTTTGCCCATGTGCACATCGATCTATTTTCACTTAAAAAAAATCCCAGAATTGCAGAAACTCGGCATTGCGCACCACATTGGCTTTTCCCATGTGCACATCGATCTATTTTCACTTAAAAAAACATCCCAGAGTTGCACAAACTTGGCATTGCGCACCACATTGGATTTGCCCATGTGCACATCGACCTATTTTCACTTAAAAAACATCCCAGAATTGCACAAACTCGGCATCGCGCACAAACTCGGCATTGCGCACCACATTGGCTTTGCCCATGTGCACATCGATCTATTTTCACTTAAAAAACATCCCAGAGTTGCACAATCTCTGCATTGCGCACCACATGGCTTTTCCCATGTGCACATCGATCTATTTTCACTTAAAAAACCATCCCAGAATTGCACAAACTCGGCATAGCGCACCACATTGGCTTTGCCCATGTGCACATCAACCTATTTTCACTTAAAAAATCATCACAGAATTGCAGAAACTCGGCATTGCGCACCACATTTCTGGATCTTTAAAACTCAAGCTATGATTGACTTTCAGGTGCGCATACCCTTCGAACTCGAGACAGTCGTACCCTTTCCAACAATCGGATATAATAATCGATCCTGGTAGAACATTCTCTTTAATGATTTCTAGCAATGTTTCGGCACCTCTGTTTTCAACAACTCTAAAGACGCATTTATCTGTTCCTCTCTCAACCAAACCAAAAACCCATTTTCCTTCGACTCTTTTCCCTCTATGATACTTTTGCTTGCCAAACTTGCTTTCGTCGATTTCGACAATGACACCTTCCGCACCCAACTTAACATTCTCCTTCAAACATAACTCCATGCATACCTCTCTACAAAAACTTTTCCAATCTGTCAACGTATTTTTAGCAATACGTAATTCCGTTCGTATAAAATCATTCCCGCACTTACCCAACCACATATAGGTAACTCGCAAAACATCACACATGCTCAATTTACTCTTCGCAAACCAGGAGTTCTTTTGAATTGATCTTGAAATTCGATGCCTACATTCGCCTCCAGTAACTCTGCACATCCACTCAAAACCGTCTATACGGTTTTTTCGCTCTACTAGTTTCATATTTGTTCCACAAACCGGGCACTTATACGATATTGCAATCAAACCTTTCTCCATACACCACTCAATAACACATTTTTTATCTCTTCGCTCCAACTGATAAAAGAAATCCAGATTCAAATACTCATCCATTCTGCAGTAAGCACCGAATTAAACACACTCATGAATAATCAAAACATTCTTTAAGCAAAAGAATTCTTTTCTGTATTTTCAGAAGTTACGGTTATAATTTTTAATTCATGCATTCAATATTTTCAATCGTTTGCTAATGATCGTTTTCAATCGTTTGGTATCTTAATAATACATTTGTGAGAGATAATTCGTTGCGTTAAATGCTGACAATACCACACAACACACAAAAGTAGATTTACAATTTAAAAAATCTCGCACAGAACATTATAAACCTACTATTTCAACTCAGTTAAAATATAATATAAGTTTTCTTTAAATACGAAGCTATAGCATACTTATAACTTGTTTTGAAGAAGAGGCGTAACCAATATTACGTCATAAAAAGGCGTGTCCAAGCATAAGAAAAGTAAACACAGCATCGACTGATGCAGCCTATTATGCGATTTAGCCGTACACATTTTGAAAAAAAATAATAAGGGAATTTTTCTCATATGCTATGAAAAAATACGAAGCTGCACTTACTTCACAAAAACACGCTCCTGCGACCGAAATCCGTTGATCTCGAACAGAAAGAATTACTTCTTCTTCGTCTTTTTTCATTTTTTGCTAAACAAAACATCCTAAAGTTATTTCTAGAATGATTTGACAATTTGGTGCAGCACATCTATCCATATTTCTCAAAATCAGGTCGAAACGATCAACAAAGCAATGCTGAACTAATAGCGAGTAGCAATAAAGTCAGAATAATAGAAATACTAAAATACCTGTTTATGGCATTTACTTATGAAATTAGCTGCGTAGCAGCGGGAATGATTGACATCCTTCACTACATTCACCAATTTTATCTGGCTGAGCAGTTTTAATACAATTATAAACAAAGCTTTCGTCTTATCCGTACGCTACCAGTACCTCCTATAAACGTATATAGGAGGTACTGACGCTACACAGCAGTTATGCTGGCTCATCAGTCGTGACGTCACGCTGTCGATCCTTCCTCGGCTTCAATTTTGTGACGTCATGCTTACTCCATCTATTCTAACCTCCTTGCGCAATACACATTTTTTCAGCACGGCAACCTTCGTCGATCAGCGACGAACGTAGACTTCAGCCGCGCATTATAAATTGCTGTGAAGTGTGTGTACTGTGTTTTTTACCCATATACAAAAAATGTTTAAAAGTATTCGTATTCCAAAAGATAAATATTCAGTAATGTTTGCATTAAGAATTACTGATTTGTTATTCAGATTATCCCAGAAATGTAGAATTTATTTACTCGGGACTTAAAAGCTTATGCGGAAGCTACGTTGTTCTTTCTTCAAAATAGAGGTTGTTCTTGTTTGACGTGTTGATATTTCAGAATTGCTTTAAATTAATACTGAAGGTTTCTGTAAAGCTTCAATTAACCTTATTTCATATTTATTTCCGAATACATTTTTGTTTGATATTCCATCCTATATTTACTGTTATAAAATTTCTTTTGAAATTTATTTGAATTCATATTTTTCACAAAGGCATCTCTCATCCAAATAATTGTTGAGTGCTTTGGAATCAATTAATTGGAACTCATTATGAATTTTTTTCTAATGCAGTTTTTATATCTATCTTTATATTTTCTTCTATATTATATATCTATATTTTTTCTTGTTGATTAAAACATGTACACTTTATTCTTCAATGATTCTGTAATGGCTAGGCTTACCAAAATATTTTTTCCTCAAACCAGAAGAATTTTGAGTAAATACTCGCACAGAAAATAAAACGTGAAAAAGCAACTACTAAGAAAAAAGGAAAATAAAGAAGGGATTGAAAAGCCTAAATAAAGAAGTTATTAACAAAAAATAACAATGAGTTTAAATAAATTTTTAGTAACTCAGTATATTATTCATTAATATTTACCTGTAATGTCTAGTGTTTTTATCACTAGTGTGAACGTTGTTATTTTTAACAGTATCGAAAATATTCATTGCAATTTTGATGGCTATTAATTTTACAGATTAGTAAAGCTTTTACTGTTGATTTAGCCAGTTTACCTCTTTCTTCAAACAATTTTTTTCATGATGCTCATAATTGACAATATTTTTTTGATTGCTGCCAGTGTGTCTCGCATGCTTGAAAATGTATTCTATCATTTAAATGGTACTGTGCAATGAAATGTATTTTCCTTGAAATGACTGAAACTTTGCATCCATTTTTCTTCACAATTTTTTCCAGTTGCATTAACAATATCAGTTGCTTTGTATTTTCCATAATCAACATAGCTTTGTTAAATAATGTGAGTTGCCCTTGTACAAACCATAAATAGTACAAACCATAATAGTACAAACCATAATAGTACGGCTTTACATTTAAAAAATCTTTTAAAGAATTTCACATAACTAGATACTACAAGTACCTTTGACTACAACAAAAAAGAACCTTTCAAAGAACCTTTTCGAACAACGCGGTAAAATATTGCTAATATGGCCGACGGCATGGCGGTTTGTTGCCTCCAAGGAGGTTAGAGCCTCCTTGGTTGCCTCCTGATGTTATTTTGCGCATGCGCAGAAAGATATGGAGGGTGGATGGATTGCCCCTTTAAAATAAGCTTCAGGGATATACATAATGTGTCTCTTCGGTCTGACGGAGCTTTGAGGAACCTTTACTTCTTCTCCTTAGAGATTCTTTGCCTGAAGCTTATTTTAAAGGGGCAATCCATCCACCCTCCGTACCTTTCTGCGCATGTGCGAAATAGCAGGCAAGATCGTCAGCCATATTAGCAATCTTTTACCGCGTTGTTCGAAGAGATTCTTTGAAAGTTTTTTTCAGTTCTTTTATCTAGTTATTTAAGCAGATCATAAGATGGATGTTTCGCAAGACGATCACCGGAATTCACCCGATTCTCTTTCTGTGAGTAAGCTTGCTTTTTTAATTCGAAAACCTATCATAGATTTTAAAAATTGATTTTGTATAGTACATTAATTTTTGATTCCCAAGCTCCAAAAATATTTTGTCTCATTGTATAACACAGCAGCTAGATTTTCATTCTTAATGTATTAACTTTGCATTTTAGCATATGAATCTCAATTTATATAATTAATCATATGGCAAACAAATACTATAGCTTGTGCAGGCATATTGGTATTTCTTTCCAAATTTTTTAAATGAGTTTTAAGCTTTAAAGTCAACTAATAATAATATTACGACAAAACGAGCGATCAGGAATAAATTTGCCATTTATACCATGCGGCAGCTAATGGCATGTATGATTGCATAAATTAATTTTATTAATAAATTGTATTATGCTTCAGCTTTAAATTTATGCTATTAGATTACCAAATAGTTTATCTGAGAAAATTTATAAACTTATTTAATATTAGTGGCCACTGAAGATTATTTTTAATTTAGTATATTGATAGTTATATACAATTTTTCGTATTTTATGATTATTTTTTTAAAATTTATATTCATTATTATAAAAAAATAATTTTGATTTCTCTCAATATTTGATGTGGTGTGGTGAATAACAGACTAACTCACTCTATCTTTTACTTAGCAAACAACCCAAATCCTGGTATCGCTGTTGTGTTTGTGGGACAACGTCTCGAAAAACACCAGACAGGAAATTCTTCAGATTTCCTAAGGATCCTATTAGGTAAATCATTTCTAAGTTTAAAAGAAACTAAGCTTTGATTATTATTAATATATATATATCTCAATTTTTGATAGAGAAGCAAATATTTCATGTATTTGGAATAATTTAAATAAATAGCTTGTTTTTTTCCATTAAGTGTTCCTCATCATAGACAAATAGTTCAGTGTTCTTCTGTAAATATCCAAGATAACTGTGCTTGTGATACAGTTGCTCCCAAAAGTGTTCATACACTTTAAGAATTTGTAAAAAATGCGCTGTAGCCCGGAATTGAATTTGATTATAAAGCCCAATATTTTCTCATATCTCGAAGTGATTTTGAATAAAACCAAATTTTTTTAAAAAATTTTTTTCTTCTAATATTTTAGAAGATAATTTTTGTAATTTATGTATTACAAGCTTGAATGCTGCAGGATATCCTACAAAAACTGACAGAAATTTAACTGCAATATTTCGTAATAGTGTCTGCAGATTTCTTTAAAGTGCACGAAGATTTTTGTGAGGTAACTTTTTTGTTACTTTTTAATTATTAATTCCCCCCCCAAAGTTTTTACTGTATTCTTATAATACTTTTATAGAGTTTTGCTAAGATAAATTTATAGATATTAAAAAATTTCTCACAACATTATTTCACTGAAACTCATAAGTGTACGAACACTTTAGGGAACCACTACATATTGGTGTGAATAAGGAAGGAAACATTTTAAAGATGCACTTTACGAACAATGTGTACTTTTTATTGGTGCCTTATCCTTTTTTAATCATATTGTTAACAAAACTGTACAAAGAAATGCTAAATTGTTTAACTAGATACTATGACCGGTAACTACAATTTAACGTCATATCTGCAAAATTATTGGTTTGTCGTACATCAAAATAAAATTAGATGAAATGAAATCATTTCAGAATTTGTTACTAATGTTTGGTTAGTTATATGCAAATTTTGCTTGTAAAATTTTAAATATGGATTCATCAAAATTCATTATGTATCATATGATATGTGTTTTTTTCTTTTTTCAGCTTACAGAATTAAATGTACTCATTGGTGGAATAATTCTGGATTAAAGAGATTTGTGGACAAAATTAAAATTATGTAAAATCCAAGCATACAGCATTTTTAGAATTATTATATGTGTAGTGAGAAGGTGGAAAATAGGCATTTCTTGTAATTGCTATTTAAAAGAATTCATTTCTCATTTCATAATTTGAAAAAATCTTCATCAGGATGAGCTGCAATAATATTTATTTGATTCAGTGGATTATTTACAAAACTTCTTAATACATATAGGTTTGATTTTCAAGTTAAATATTTAATCTTATATTAATAAATGTGAGAAGTATTGAATATTTTATGAACCAAAAGAATGAAATTAGTTATTTTAGTAATTTATGTGCAACTTATGTAAGACTTTTTAAATGTAATCTTGTATTTGTTAATTTAAGTGAAATGCTTTTGACTCTTGGTTTTCATAATGGTCATTCCAAATAATTCAAATAATTAAAATTTCTTGGTAATTTTTTTTTTTTTTTTTTTTTTTTTTTTTTTTTTGAGGTCAGATACTTATAATGAATTCAGTGTTTTCAATTTATTTAGGGGTACTTGTAATTGTTTTTAATTATTTTTTCTGTTTTGGTTAGTTATCATGCAAATTTTGCTTGTAAAATTTTAAATATGGAGTTATAAAAATTTATTATGAATTGTATGGTATGTGTTTTTTTTTTTAAGCTTACAGAATTAAATGTACTCATTGGTCGAATAATTCGGGTATTAAATAGATTTTTGCAAAATTAAAATTATGTAAAATCCAAGCTACAGCATTTTTTAGAATTATTATATGGATAGTGAAGATGGAAAATAGTCATTTTTTGTAATTGCTATTTAAAAAAATCAATTTCTAATTTCATAATTTGAAACTAATCTTCATCAGGATGAGCTGCAACAATATTTATTTGATTCAGTGGATTATTTATAAAATTTCTTCCCAGGTTTTAATAACACCTGGAAGGTTTGATTTTCAAGTTCAGTATTTAATCTTATATTAATAAATGTAAGAAGTATTGAATATTTTATGAAAAAAAATAATGAAATCACTTATTTTAATAATTTATGTGAAATTCTTTTTTAAAAGGCCTTTTAAGTGTAATTTTGTATTTGTTAATTTAAGTGAAATGCTTTTGGTTCTTGGCTGCAAAATTTGCTCATTGTTTTCATAATGGTCATTCCAAATAATTGTCTAAAAAATTTCTTGGTATTTGTGAAGATGCTTAAAATTATTTTGCATATGTATATTCTGAAACTTGAGAAATGTCAATAAAAATCATTTTTTTACCTCAAATGTGTTATTCTTTGTTTTAATATTTAATAATATGCTTGATATGAAAAGATTTACATTTTCATAAAAATATGAAAAGATTTACATTTTTATGCAATTAATTACATAAATAACGCTATTTTTTTATTTATGTAATTAATACTTATTTAATACGTTATTTATGTACTTATTTTAATTGCAGATTTGTTAGAAATCTAACAAGAAGACAGTAGTTAATTTTCTTTTCTATTAATTCTGATGCGTCTATGGAAGCTTTCATTCTTTTCCTTACAGATTCTTTGCTTCAGAGACATACAGTGTCTCTTCAGTCTGACGTAGCCACATTTGCTTCGCGCAACATTTACTTCTACTCCTTAGAGGTTCCCGGACGAATCCGTACGCACGCAACAATATAAAAGCCATGCAATGAAAAAATAAAACGGTGTTAAAGACTACATGCAGTTCGCAGACGGTTCAAAAAACCCGGCGGGGTATAGAACCCGCGATCTCGAGGTCCGTAGAAAGATCCCTTTTTCTTTTTATCTCTGGGCTACGCTCACTTGTTTGACATAATTGTGAAGAAAGCAAGTGTTTCGGCACATGATTGATTGTCGTTTTCTGCAAAGTCCATAAGTCTCTTAGCTGCTTGGAAAACTACACATAATTTCTCAACAGGAGATTTTGCATTCTGAATTTTTTCGATAAGTTCGAATAGTTCCTAATAATTTCTGAATTTTTTTATATAAGATGCATGATTTTTATATAAGATGTATATAAGATCCATGCTTTCCTACCTCCATGGTCAGAAAAGCATGGAATTTGGCCAAGAAAAGGAAGTTGATTGGAGTGTGCTAGGGGAGGAGGGGCTAAGGCTCTTTTCAGTCCATACTAATTTTGAGGGAAGGCCGAATAGAAGTGTGGGGAGGGGTTACGAATTGAGGAAAGCCTGCTAGACTTAGAAAAATAATTGGATTTTTTGTAGGCAATCGGCTAAATTTTTTTTTTTAAAGGAAATAAAAGTTAAAAAAAAAAAAGGCTTAGTATTAATTTAAGGAGCATGGGATAACTACTAGGTTTAAGCAATTAGGCATACATTATTCAGTTAAATAAATAACAGCGAAGTTATTTGTATTTTTTAATTTTATTTTATTCGTGTTTAGGTTTGTTGAGCTCTGCTATGATAAGAAATAAAATGTACATTTATCCATTTGAGTTTCTGCAGATCTGAGGTTATTAAGGTTTTTCTTAAGTAGATTGGTTAATTTTGTCATTTGTTGCCAGCCGAAAATAGATTCAATTTCACGCATGACTTGAAATAATTCAAGAAATCCAGATGTATTTAGGCGTGGGTTATTTTTGAAATTAATTCAAGCTGAGGGTTTGTTTGAACGAAATTATTCTGTTTTATGGCTGTAAGTGGGGGCTGGTTCTTGGTTGGTTGATAAGATAGGTTGTACAGTTTCTTGTGTTTTTGGATTTAATATTTCAGGTATAGTTTCCTGGGGCCTTGTGTAGTAATATTTAGTGGTTTGGGAAATTTTACGCACCCCCTATAAGAAGCAAGATGAGAATTTTTACAGTTGCACAAATTGGATTTTCGATAAAATCTTTAATGGGGCATTCTGCAGATCTATGATCCCCGGCGCATTTAACGCAACGGGGGGTGAGAAAGCAATCGTCAGATGAATGATGCCATTTCTGGCAGTTATGACATTGTGGGATGAGGTCCTTATTCACATATTTTTCGATTTGCACAATAAATAGTGACATGTGAGTGATTTTGTAAATTTCTTCAATGTTGGAAGTAGGTAATAAATGGATTTGGAATAGGGGCATAGTCTGCCGAGTTCGGTTTCTAGTCATTTGTGTGATTTTGTGAGTTTTGAATCCTTGCTCAGTAAGAATTTTTTTTTATCTCATCTGTGTCCATGACCTCTAAATACAACTTTTACTGGTTTCAAGTGCCTAGCGTTTATAAGGTAATGTTTAATATTTTTTTTCTTTCAGAAATTGTGTCAAAGTGTGATAGTCATCTGGTGTGTTTGGTATAATTTTTAAGAATTCGCCGTTAATTCGCCGCCACCAAAAACACGCACACAAAAAGAAGTCGAATTTGGGGAGACACTTCACGACAAAATATACCCAGTTTGCTGGTAAATATCCAAACGAGGACGCACCAAAAAAGCTCTTGAAGAGCTCAAAAAAATGTCAAGTTCCATGCTAAGTAACTGGCACAATCTTCCAATAATGTAAGCTCTGCAGTATCATTAGAAATTGAAAAAGAGTAAAACCATTCACGTCAAATACGTCAAATATTGTTTTATATGTGCATCTGAATAACTGTTTCGTGATATTAAAATCTAAGCAGAAATCATGAAAAAAATCAAAGATTTGCCATTATCTGCAAAACCAGTACAAAATAGAACTGCTAAGATGTTTCCAAATGTAACACATATGCAAGTGGAAGACATTCAGCTGGCTGCATTATCACTTGCTATAGATGAGTCTTGTGACATAAAAGACACAAGTTACCCTTTTCGTAGGGTATATGTCCTCCCAAGGTCCAAATGAAGAACTGTAGGATTGCTATCGCTCTCAGGGCAAATTCTCGTGGAGAAGGTATAGCAAATGCTTGTGCAAAGATGCCTGAAAGACTGTGGATAAATAAAATCGTTTCGATAGCAACTGATAGAGTCACAAGTCTGACAGGAATACACAGAGGTGTAACATATATTCTTCAGAAATGCAACCATGAAACTCTAACGTTTCACTGTGTAATTCACCAAGAAGCGCTTTGTGCCCAAACATTTCCTGCCGAAATTGTTGACGTTATGAACTTGGTAATTAAGATTATCAACAGCATTTTGCAAAAGCCCTCTACCGTCACCAGTTCAAAGATTTCCTTTACAGATAACCAGTTTTCTGACCCACTTCAGCACAATAAAGTGTGATGGCTTTCCAGACATAAGATATTGCAACGTTTTACTTTGTGTTTGAGTGAAATAAAAACATTCCTCAATGAAAAAAGCATTGATCATCCCGAATTGGAAAAAGACAAACGGCTGCAAAACTTCTATTTCGTGGTAGATACCACAATGAAACTAAATGAACTAAATCTAAAACTGCAAGAAAAGGCAACCCAGCCTACGCCTTGCTTAAAGAAGTAGTTTGTTTCGAAAACAAAGTACTTATTTTTGTTGAAGACATGGAGAACGGTAAATTACTTCATTTTAAAAATCTGATGTATATCGCAATGAGACCAATGCAACTATTATCACGAATTATTTCAACATAGCTTTAAGAAAGATGAAGGATGGATTCGCTGAGAGATTCAAGCAATTCAAAACAAACCAGAATACTCTTGCGTTCATAGTAAATCCTCTCAACGAAAATAAATATGATATCAACAATGAGACATTTGGAATTGATGCTGGAACGCTTCAAATGCAACTGCTATATTTGAAAACCAAATACTTGTGAAGTGGCAAGTTCACAGAACTCAAGAGCAAGTTCGAAGATTTGGAGGTCCAGAAATGCATGCGCGTCGAGAAGCACAAGAGGACAGCTCTAAAAGAAATTCCGCGATTTGTGGCCCTCATATTCGGGGCATGGAATAGTCTTCCAGAAAGGTATAGTGAGGTGAAGAAATTGACATATGGAGTACTGACGATCTTCGGGTCGACATATTCGTGCGAGCAAGCGTTCTCTTGCATGAATAGAATAAAAAGTCGCGTTTCAAATCAACTAACAAATAAAAATTTAGAGTTGTGCTTGAAACTTAAAACAACAAGTTATAAGCCAGATTTAATCAATCATACGAAAGGCATGCAAAGCCAATGCTCCCATTGACGTAACTATCTATATTTGTCTTTATATATATATTATTCCGTATTTAAAGCCGTTAATTTTGAAG